TAAAATGAATCCCAAAATCTTGAAGTCACACAAGTTATAATAACAGACTATTTTATTTATCTACAATTACATTGCAGTCTAGCTAAATGTCAGACTTATATGGCGGAGTTTAGCATGCTGCACTTAACTTAACCATATAGTCTTTAGCAGATGTTCACAACAATACACTATTCACGAAAAGATTTGGTTAGTTACATCGAAAGTAAAAAATAAAATACTGGTTAAACCAATTTTTGACGGTCACCATCGACGGAGAAAAGTCAACGTATCCAAGCACTTTTTGATTTCGCTGAAACAAGAATTGAATCACGGACCGATATTGCTCTTTTCCATTTTTCCAAAATCCACGGACACGCCCGCTTCCACAGGCGATCAAAACAAAATTCGGCTGAAATTTTGACAGTAGCCGTCTACGAGCGTGTACTTCAAGATAGTAAATGTCTCTTGCGATAGTGGCGCTATCGAGCGGTGAGGCTAAGTACTTATCGGACCGCACTCGTAAAAGTGGTGTTCGACATGTATAGTTCTCCCACCTTTTTTACTAAACGGATCCATCTAACAAGCTGATACACTGCCAGCATGACACTATTATTGTGAATATATGAGCCTGACACATTATTTACTTTCAATTTTGCTTGACTCAGGGATACTGGCTTCCTTCTTGCTTAGAAACAACATGACGGACGAAGGCCGAGTACACCTGCCCACCATGATATTATTACACGAGATGTCTACTATAGTATCGTACATAAAACTTTTAAAGATAATAATAATTTAATTACAATATTTACACAACTTTAGTGGATAAATTCAAAACTAAAAACCACAAAAGGATAGTGTCCTTGTGCTTGGTTGTGAATAAGATAAAATTCCTTAAGCTAGGTGTACATACTTCCAATCTATTTATTATTTTTATTTATTTTCTCCCGGTTGGTCAAAAGTTGGTCTGTCAAATATTAGTGGTCGTATGGATCACGAAACTATAGTGCAACGTCCGCTAAGCAATCCTGTAGAATCCAGTATGTAAGAAAGATGATTGTACACTATTCAAAAACAAACAAGAGCAAGAAAATTGGTGAAAAGCCTGAATTCATTACAGTTTTGTTTAAAATGATCTAGTATACCCGTTTTATATCAACGATAACTTCAAGACCATATTCAGATGGATTTCTTCAACATCATCTTTAACATGTTTTGGGATATTTACATCAATGGATAAATTCATGTATTATTTGACAGTAGACAGTCTTGTCATCAGTGCCGACACAACAAATTCTTGCTAGAAACATTATGAGTTATGGCGTAAGGGGGAGGGCGAGCGGGGGCAAGAGCAGCAATTTTTTAAACCATAAATCAAAATGATAGTCTACTGAAAATATTCATACCCGTCGAGAAACGGAACTCAACACGAACTGCGCTTTTTATCGCTAGATGGCACCACCAACACCACTTTCAGAATTTTTGAACCCTTTGTCAGTGTTACTGTTTCCGGCGACGCGCCTCGCGTGTCTGCTCATAAGCAGTGTTGCCATATGAATTTTTCATAAAGCGGTAAAACTTGGTCCAAAAAGCGGTAGAAAGCGGTATATGAAAGAAATTGCTAGTCGCACAATAAATTAATGCATTTTTTGTTAAGCTGTAATAATTATTATTATTATTATTATGATAATTGAGATGAGCAGAGTACACAGTACTATAAGCTCATGCAGTAAATATAGTGTACGGACACGTAACACAAATACATCAAATAGAAAAAATAAAAAAAGACAGTTCATAGATATAAAGTTTGTACACTCCTCCAGCTATCATACTGCACTTTGAAGCTATTAACTGAAGTAGCACCAACCACACTTTCAGGTAAACTATTCCAGGTGTTGAATATGCGGTTGGGAAGAAACCACTGTCGGACTGTTGTTTTAAATGGCTCCTTATGCAGTTTTAAGCTGTGTCCGCGTAGATTGCTGCGCGACAGATGGTATAGATGCATGAGGTTGGTGCCCATCAAACCATGAAGTATCCTAAACGTAACTATAAGATCGCCACGAAGTCTTCGCTCAGAGAATGAGGTCAGGTTGAATAATTCAAGGCGATCTTCATAGCTTGGTCTTCGTGCTCCAAAAGGGATACGAGTAGCCCGACGCTGTACTGATTCGACGAGATTTCTATCGCGCAGAAGCATAGTGTCCCATACCGGGCCAGCGAATTCAAGAATTGGCCTCACGAATGCCTTGTAAATGTAGGCGCAAGTGTTGACATCGGATCCTTTGAAAGACCTCTCCAGCATGTATAGAAGTTTCTTGGCTTTTGATGTAACGTGGTGAATATGCTCTGACCAGGAAAGACGATCGTTGACTACAACGCCCAGATCAGTGTGGCTGGAAACTGCTTCGATGTTGTGGTCAGAGATCTTGTATGTAAATCGCGGATTTGTCTTCCCAAGGTGAAGGACACAACACTTAGTTAGATTTAAGGGTAAAAGCCAACTGACTGACCATTGACAAACAATATCAAGATCTCGTTGAAGCATAGCAGAATTTATGACAGTATTGTAAATCTTGGTGTCGTCGGCATAAGCTGAACATGTGGAGGAAATCAATGCGGGCAGGTCACTTGTATACAGAAGGAACAGCACTGGCCCCAAGACAGAGCCTTGAGGAACTCCACTTGCTACATGATGAAGGTGCGATTGGCTATCACTGACGCGCACAGAGAAAGTCCTCCCGGTGAGAAAAGCCTTAATCCACAGTAACAACTCGCCTCTTATTCTCATACATTCCAACTTAAACAGAAGCCTTCTATGTGGTACGCGATCGAAAGCCCTAGAAAAATCTAAGTAGATTATATCAACAGGAGTCTTTGTGTCCAGATACTGAGTCCAATCGTTGAGAGAGTGGAGAAGGTTGGTCATTATTGATCGACCAGGGAGAAATCCATGCTGATTCTTAGGGATAAGGTCATTTTCGAAAGCAAATGACAGGAGCTTATCTAATATGATTCTTTCAGCTATTTTGGCGGCGATAGGAACGAGACTTATTGGTCGATAATTTTTAGCGGAGGATTTGTCGCCCTTTTTGAATACAGGGGTAACAGAAGCACTAAGCTAGCATGAGGGTAGGGTATGAGATCTAAAAGATGATGTGAATATCAAGCTTAATGGTAGGGCCAGTGCTGAAGCACAGTTTTTAAGTACAGCAGCCGTCATCCCATCTTTACCAGGGGAGGAAGAGGTCTTCAGATTTCGCAGGTGCATTAATACATCTTCAGGCAGGAACTCAACTTCGCAAAGGCTGTTGGGACACCTATGGAAGATAGTGGTCGGTAGAAGGTCTCCATTAGGCTCATCGACGAAGTCATCACTAAAGGACTCTGCCAGTAAGTTGGCAGATTCGGTGTCATCCATGTGGAGTTGACCGTCAGCGTCGCGGATCTGAGGTGATGAAACTTTGGAATTCAGGTTTGTTCTTAGATACCGAAACAGCTTCTTCTTATTTTTGGAGGTAACGAGTTTTCGTTCATAAGCATGTTTGGCATTACGTAACGTTCTAGATAGGAGGTTAGAAAAGGATCGATGAGACACGTAATTTTGTGAATGGCCACTCCTCCTAAACCGTTGCCACAAAGATCTCTTGTGACGAAGCATCCTCAATATGTTAGAGTTGGTCCAGGGCTTTGAGGGGTCACAGTATACCTTCTTTTCAACAGTATTGTCAGCCGTTTCGCTTGGGACTCGTTGAGCGAAAGTGTCCCACATATCTTGGGTGCTACGGTTGTTAAGCAAAGCAGGCCAGTTGACTTCAGACAGGGCTTGGTTAAAAGCATCGTGGTTTACAATTTTGATGGTTTTAAACTTATCGGTTGTAAAACGACTATTTATATTGAACTGGAGAGAAGATAAAAGTGAACAGTGGTCAGACTTGCCAAAAGGTGGCAAATAATCTAAATTAGAAACAAAGTCGGCGTCGTTAACGAATATCAAATCCAGAGCCCTAGGCGTCTGTCCTTTCCTGAATCTCGTTGGACGATCAACAAGTTGAGATATGCTAGAGTTGCGTAGCAAGTCGATGTAAGCAGCAGAAGAAGAATTGCATTCAGGAATGGTTGACATAGGCCAGCTAATGTCACGTAGATTAAAGTCACCAGCTATGAAAAGGTTGGTGTTTTTATTTAAGAGATCTGAAATGAGACTGCACAGGTGTGTGTCTCCCAAACAGGGCCGTGGCCGATATATGCAGCCTATCGTGAAGCTGAAATTTGGGCACCTCAATTCCAAAAATAGATTGTCAATGCCATCGAAAGGACTGAAAGAGGGAGATACCGAGAAAGCCGACGCGATTTCCGTGCGAACATAAATGCATACTCCACCAAAACCAAGAGTGCGTGGTGAATCCGTTCTGTATAAATAGTATCCAGGCAAATTGATGGAAGAGTCGGACACGTTGGAATGGAGCCATGTTTCAGTAAGGCAAACGAACGTTGGATTATTGTCTCGAACAAATGCTTGGAGTTCAAGTAGCTTAGAAAAGAGAGATTGTATGTAACAAACCGTCCAGTTTGCCACAGAATTTATCAGTTTTTTGAAGGTGTGATCTCCTGGGTAGCTGTGTATACTATAGAAGGTTTACCACAAACGTATTTTATAGTAATATTACTTTCGCCTGTTGTTTGACGACGTCTAAGCTCTTCGCGAAGGTGTTGTAGTTCTTGCATTTGACCTCTGGTTTTGTCGTCAGAGATTTTTACGTGACGAAGCGTGGGGTGGCTAAGGATGGAGTTTTTCTTCCGCAAAATATTGCTGACGATAATAGGTGAGGAAAACACAACTCTAATTAAACGATTGCTTGAAGTTGTTCTGCCAAGGCGAGTGATGCTGAGTCGGTGATTTTCGGCAGATGGTTCAATATGCCTAATTATCTCTGATACTATGTTTATGTCATCGTTCCCTTCAGCTATGCCCCTCAGAATGATATTGTGGGAACGTCTAAATAACTCCATTGTCTCAGCTTGGGAGCTTGGGGCAATAGGGGTAGAAGAAGCGCCGTTGCCTGAGTGCATCGTCTCCATAGATCTTGCAAGTCTCGATTCAATATTAGCAATGTTAGAAGACAGCTCTGTTTGAGTAACCTGGATATTTTGTATGTTGGTTTCGCAGGCCGCTATTAAGTCATCATGCCGAGAGATCGAGTCAGAATGTTGCTGTAGCAAGTTTCTACAATAAGCAACATCAGTTCTGAGTTGAGATTGAGAGTTCTTAATATCCTTTATGTCACTGGCCATAGTTGATAATTGGTTAAGTATAAGGGTGAGAGTGTCGGTAGGGGTAGACTTATCTGTTTGTAAAGGAGCAGTGGTTTCTGAACAAGCACCGCATATGGAAGAGGTGGATCCGCTTCGGGTAACTCGTCCCTGTTTACAACAGGCTGGGCAAGACCATCGTTCTTTTCCGTCCGACAGTTCTCCGTTGTTATCACTGTATTTTTGTACATTATCCCCATCTTCAGGATCTTTCATGTTTGTATTCTTCTTTCGTGCAGTCTGACTCATGTTCCCTTATTCCAGCGGCTATTTCCGGATTACCCTATACACTCTGTAGACTAGTTTCTTAATTTGATTTGACACTATTGACGAAATGTCCAAATGACAAAATGGAATATATGGTAAAATGGCTGAAGATTACTCCCACGGCTCTGGAAACTATCGCCAACAGGTCCACGGACGTACCTCTTCCTGCTCTTAACTTGAACACCTCTGGTTTTAAATATTTTTGGCTTTTCTCCGATATTTTGAGGTATTTACAGTGAATACTAATTTAGTAGTCTACTATATAGAAACTATTATACGTTTTTGCCATTACTCTACATAAAACTTGATTTATTATTATGTTCTAAACAAGAACTAACAAGTAAAACTCAAAAATAGGCATTCTTGACATTGACAAAATCTAAACTAAGTTGAGAAAAATAAGCATTACGAATATTGATTAGCTAATTTTAATAAATATTTTTGGTCATTAACCTCCTCAATTCATTGTTTCCCTTAAATTCGAAACAACTACTTGTAATTAGTCTCTGACTGTGTAATATTCCTATAATTGTATTTAAACGATTCCTTTGGGAATAAAATATTAGTATACGTATATATTCATAAATAATTCGAATTTTCCATCTTGTAGCTATTACATATTACAAAATTTGAACTATAAAATATTTGTTCTCTCAGAATATTTGAAATAAATCATATTTTTATTACAGTGGCATATTTATTAAAAAAATCATACCTATAGGCTTTAAGAAACTCACCTTCAACCAAAAAAGAAGCCCAATATTAAAAATCTTTACGCAAATTCCGGAATACACGTACCACCAATACACATTGTACAACAATAAATTAATGGCAGCGAAATATTTCCGTAAATATCCTGTCCCGGGGTTGGGGAGTTCCCTGATCAGGAAAGCTGGCCATTATTAATCGTTACCGTGAGACGGCGGTAGCAAATTATGTATTCATGCAGCGAGAATATTACAAAAGTAAAACTGGATACCGGTAGATGGCTCTCTAAAGCCTTGATTTGATAACACTGCTCATAAGTAGGCTTGAGACATACGACTCTTTTCTCTGAGATCGCTCATGTCGTTCATCTCTCTTCAGTGAGTCGTTCATTCGGAGACGTTCATTTGAACGATACGATTACCGACCCCCCTGGAAGCTGTCGAGAGTATTGTGTTGCCTATAGTAACGACTCACTGAGTCAGAGAATCATCATACTATGAAAATAAAATATGAAGGGTTAGGGTTGCCGATGTTATTGTATTTAATTTAAGTATTAATATTTTTGGTTGAAACTGAATGTAACGAACATATACTGTCTTCCGAAAAAAGAAGGAATATGTGGTACGGTTTTGAGAAATTACCGAATTCTGAATCAAAATGCATTTTTTGCTCTCAACTTCCATCATTTCAACGTATAATTTAATGATACATCTCAACACAAAAGCAGAATCAAGGGGGGCATATGGGCGCCCATGAGGTCGACTAGTTTATAGATATAATAATCGTTTATTTGCAGAGCAAAAAAAATACATTGTATCGCTTCGATACGTTAGAATATCAATGCGATATGCTAACGTATCGCATAGATCCGTTAGAATATGACCTTAATATTATAGTTTGGTCAAGAATTTTTAGTTTTGCGTCGTAGTACCTTTAAAATATTTTTACAGGTAAATACATCAATGGTGCAAAGCCGGAAGTAAAAATTTCAAACCTAAATCTCAGGTATAATTATTATTTTGTACTGTACAAATACCTGCGCTCTTCTCATAGCAAAGTTTTCTTTAGTAGCCAGACTAACTGCTGACATTAGAGAAAGATTCCAACAGCTGCAGAATTTAGCTTAAAAATATGGTTTTTAAAGGTCTTAAGTGGTACTGAATGTGAACGAACTTAACTTGGATAAAGCACCTTAAGACATGATAAAATAATAAATTCCAATAGAATCAGACTGTAAAAAAGAGATGATTAAATCCATCTCTCTAGGCTTATTAAAGTACATGATTGAGTCCAAGCTCAAATATGGCTTACCAAACTTTGACGAGATTTTTTCAGCATCTTCCATTAGTAATGCCAGTTGTGCAAGCTTAAGTTAATTAAGAATTATCTCAGATCGACTATGTCCACGTTGAAGCTCTCAAATTTAGCTATTTCGACAAATGAACATGGCATACATATTGATATTGAGGATTGTATAAAAAATGTTGCTATGAAAACACATTTTTAGTTAATTAAAGGATTTAAAGATGCTTCTTTTGTCTTTTACTAATGTACTAAACTGATAAATAAAATAAAGAGGGGCGGCAAGTTTGCGGTGATCCCGGGAGGCAAAAACGGACGCTACGCCACTGTATATATAGTATGTATTGTACTTTTGATCTTGAGGCGAGTCTCACAAACAGAAACCATATTTTTGAATTCAGGTATTTATTGTATATATAAAACGGGTTTTAGATTAGTTACAAATAAATCAAATAACTACCAAAACATACATCGTTCAATCTTATTTCTACACCTTTGTTTTGCAGTTTCCGGATTTTCCAAAATGCCTTGGAGGAGTCGATTCAACATCATGACTAATTTTTCTCTTACTTCCTCCTTTTTTCTTAGCTTGATTCTTTTTGGCTGGAACTTTGACATCCTTCAATTTTGGGGCAACGAATTTGTTTGGTACCTCAGGAGTGTTACCTTGTGCCCCATTTTGACATTTATTTACGGATAGATGGTAATGTAGCTTCAGTTTCAACCTCATGAAGTCATTTTTTTCGATAGCTTCGAAATTCAGGTGCTCCATCTCGGAAATGCACTATATCGGATGCTCAAAGTATGTATTTTCTCAGCAAAATTATACACACATAGCCCTTCAGGTGTAGTAAGCTAGAGACCGTTAAAAATCGATATTGAATTTGAGAAAGCACAGATTCTGACAGATTGATGGTTTCATGTCAACATGCGATCATCATAAGTCACTTGTCTATCAAATTGAGCCTACACAAAGTAGTTCAACTGAACCTGATGAACTAGTCGGCATCAACATCGAAATATGATAGGCCAGGAATATTATTCACAAACTTCAAAATTATCGGCAAATAATAAGAGATTGAAAAAAGTGTTGAAAATGATACCTACTATTATTTCACAAAACAAATCTCCAAGTATCAAAACAACACATTTTTAATCACAATGAATCATATTCGTTCGCGATATTGTTTTTAAAAATTAAGTACTAACCGCGAATAAATGAATGAGCTTTAAAACATTAGGAAATTAAAGTTGATGAATTTATTTTGAGGACAAAAGGGCCATCCCGGCGAAATCTCTAAAAAATCAAAATGCAAATATCGTAACATGACAAACCGACCAAATTTAAGGTGAAATGGTACTATTATTTCATAAAATGAATCCCAAAATCTTGAAGTCACACAAGTTATAATAATAGACTATTTTATTTATCTACAATTACATTGCAGTCTAGCTAAATGTCAGACTTATATGGCGGAGTTTAGCATGCTGCACTTAACTTAACCATATAGTCTTTAGCAGATGTTCACAACAATACACTATTCACGAAAAGATTTGGTTAGTTACATCGAAAGTAAAAAATAAAATACTGGTTAAACCAATTTTTGACGGTCACCATCGACGGAGAAAAGTCAACGTATCCAAGCACTTTTTGATTTCGCTGAAACAAGAATTGAATCACGGACCGATATTGCTCTTTTCCATTTTTCCAAAATCCACGGACACGCCCGCTTCCACAGGCGATCAAAACAAAATTCGGCTGAAATTTTGACAGTAGCCGTCTACGAGCGTGTACTTCAAGATAGTAAATGTCTCTTGCGATAGTGGCGCTATCGAGCGGTGAGGCTAAGTACTTATCGGACCGCACTCGTAAAAGTGGTGTTCGACATGTATAGTTCTCCCACCTTTTTTACTAAACGGATCCATCTAACAAGCTGATACACTGCCAGCATGGCACTATTATTGTGAATATATGAGCCTGACACATTATTTACTTTCAATTTTGCTTGACTCAGGGATACTGGCTTCCTTCTTGCTTAGAAACAACATGACGGACGAAGGCCGAGTACACCTGCCCACCATAATATTATTACACGAGATGTCTACTATAGTATCGTACATAAAACTTTTCCAGATAATAATAATTTAATTACAATATTTACACAACTTTAGTGGATAAATTCAAAACTAAAAACCACAAAAGGATAGTGTCCTTGTGCTTGGTTGTGAATAAGATAAAATTCCTTAAGCTAGGTGTACATACTTCGAATCTATTTATTATTTTTATTTATTTTCTCCCGGTTGGTCAAAAGTTGGTCTGTCAAATATTAGTGGTCGTATGGATCACGAAACTATAGCGCAACGTCCGCTAAGCAATCCTGTAGAATCCAGTGTGTAAGAAAGATGATTGTACACTATTCAAAAACAAGCAAGAGCAAGAAAATAATCCAAATGTTTCGCTAAATTTTGACAGGTTATATTTCGGTGAAAAAGGATCGTATCTATACTCTAAAAAAAGCATTTTGAAGTTTTCAGATTTTTTAGCCGGAACATTTTAGGAGCAACGGTTCTCATGCAACTCAGTATTTATTATTTCATTATTTTTTCCTCAAAATAAATTTGATCGTTCAATATGTTTTAGGATAATTTTTACTGTATTTTTTACATACTCATTTACGAACTTCTTCGTCATGGAAATTGCATTTTTTGGTTAACAATAAATACTAGTGAACACATCAATAACGTGCTTTTTGACCGTGGGTGGTGCTTCAATCCAGGAACCAATAGTTGAATCTCAATTAACGTCCAAATAATGAATACAAAAAATGGAGGCAAGTAGAAGGACTTAGTACTTCTCACCCCATTCTTCTATAATACTCAGATTATTGAGACATATACGATCAAGTATTTTTAACATCCCATTGGGAAAATTCAACATCAAATTCAAAAATTTGAGGAAAACATGCCACGTAAAATAATGTCTTTCTATGCTGCCTTCATTTTGAAAAAATGTGCTCTTCATAAATCTGTGCCAAATAATTATTTCTATGACTCTATTCAGGGCTTAACGAAAAAAAATCTAATAATAATAAATGACTTTGAAAATAGCTAGCTCAAGAATATTGAAAATAATTTTAACAAAATATTCTTCCAAACTTTATATTGAATACAACGTACACACAACGATTTATATAATATGCAGAAATATGGCTGTACTATATACTGGGGGTTTCAGATTTGATTATCAAAAATAAATTGTTTAATTTGCTTTTTGAAATTATTGAAATCAAGATGTTTAGCAGTCGATGATAATGCATTATATAGATTGATGGCATTATAGGTAAAGCATTCATGAAATTAAGAAGTTTTGTGAAGAGGCATAGTTGAAGTGTCAGTGGATCTAATGTTTCTTGAGTGGATATATTCACGACATATTAATTTATTTTTCAAAAATGAAGGAATCGAAGTACGTAGGAGTTTGTGAACATGACATAATAAGTAAAGCTTATACAATTTTGCAACATTTAACCAGTTCAGCTGTTCGAAACATGGACTGATATGATGATATTTTCTCAAGTTGAAAATCAATCTACAACGTGAATTTTGATTTATTTATATAACGAAGTGGTTCGCAATGCCAAAAACCAGCACGATATAAAAGTTAGGTCCGGGTAATCAGGATGGAACTATTGTATTCGACTCAAAGGCCAAGACGGAAGTGCTAGCCAAGATCTTTGCTGCCAACTCCACCATGGACGACCCCCCAACGCCCAAGTGCTGTCAATTCAAAGGGTTCCCTACACTATGCGGGAGGTAGCATTCAGGCATAAGACCGTAAGACGAGTACTCTTCTCGCTCGACATCAACAAACCTTCTGGTCCCCGGTCTTGATTCCTGCCATTGTACTAAAGAAGTGTGCAGCGGAGCTTGCTCCAGTTCTTTCGCGTCTCTTCCAGATATCTTATGAATCCGGCACCTTCCCAGAAAACTGGAAATTTGCTCATGTCCAGCCCATTCCAAAAAAAAGGATCTAAGACCGACCCTTACAACTACAGGCTATAGCTCTGCTTTCTGTTATAAGTAAGGTGATGGAGAGGTGCCTAAATCGCGAGCTTCTGGACTACCTCGAACGTCACAGCTTGATTAGCGACAGGCAGTATGGTTTCCGGCACGGGTTTTTTAAACTATTATTTATTTTTGATTTTTTTGTTCGATTTACCAATCCGTTTTTTGTGAACATGTGTACTAAGTTTCAAATTAATCCAACTTCTGGAAATTGGTGAAAATTATCCTCAAAGATTACGTTACATACATACATACATAGAGGCCAAGCTTATATTATAATGATAAAAATAATAAAATAATTATATATAAAAGCGTGTTAATAAAATAAGCAATATTCTTACCTTCAACTGTGGCTTTTTCAATCTCTGAAAGTATCTCTCCAGCTTGGTGCGGTCGATGATATGCAGGTAGTACGAGACAGGTTTACCCGTCCAAGAAACAGATCCTCTCAATGGTGACATCTCAGATACGTGCATAATCGTCCCAATGTCGCTCAGGTTCCTATCGGTGATCCTGAAGTTCAAGGGACAGAAACTTTTCGACGACACTATCCTAGCTCCGTCCTTCAAATCAGCAAACCGCTCTTTCAGTTGGTGGTCCACCGATGGACCGAACGCGAAATTGTTTACGAACACTATGGTGGCTTGGTTTATCTTCTCCCTATGTTCTTCAGTGAGAAAATCGCCTTTCAGAAGTTTGTACTCTCCGTACTTCTTTCCGTACCACTGCATCCAAGTGCGGAAGTTTTTGTTCATACTTTCTGCATACCGGCTGGGTACTTCCGCTTTTTCTATGCCCAAGCAGATTTTACAGGGAGTCGCGGCTGCCATCTGCAGTACAACCTGGAAAATGAATAATTTACGATATTTATCCAGTTTCACCGAAAAAATGTTCTCCTAACCCAGTGGTCGTCAACCCGTCGATCGCGAGCTACCGGTAGCTCGCAAAGGCAATTCTGGTGGCTCACAACATACTTTAAAAAGGTGTAGAAATCATAGAAGCTTCCGTAAATTTTGTAAATTCTCATAATAAACACCAGCAGCGGCAACACTGCGGCGAGCGATCTGTTCGAGAACGATCTCGATTACTTTGAACGGAATAAATACGCAAGGCGCGGCGACAGTGCGCTCAGTTTAAAAGTGAACGACTCAAAGTTCAGCGGTTGAGTTAGAGTTGGCCTGCAATTACAAACATTATGAGAAGTAGTAATAAGATGAAGAAATACCATTTCCATTCGGAATGGGAAGAACAATATTTCTTTACAGAAGGTAAAAATGTATGTTTGTTATGTAATACATCTATTTCCGTTACTAAAAAAGCGAATATCGAGAGGCACTATAAAACTGTACATTCGAATTTTGAAAAATCATTCCCATTACGTTCTGCAATCAGAACGGAAAAACTGAAACAATTGAAAAGTAGTTAATTGGACAACAGACAATGTTTTTAAAACAATCGACAAAAGTAAGGCTGCAAATGAAGCATCATACCGGGTGTCCCAGATAATAACATAAAAGAAGGGTAGAAGTAATGAGCAATGATATAGTTTTACAGTTAAGAAATGACTTCGATAAATGTGCTTGTTTTTCACTACACCTGGATGAATCCACAGATGTCGTTGACACCTCTCAAATGGCCGTATTCGTCAGGATGGTTTTTAGTGATTATACGATTAAAGAAGATCTTTTGAAGTTTATTCGACTAAGAGGACAGACTAATGGGCAGAACTTGTTTTCTTCTTTTAAAAACTGAAAGAAAATTCCAATACCGAAAATGGTAGACTTGACAACAGATTGCACTCCAGCTATGGTGGATCATGATGAGGGTCTCGTGGGGTTGTGTCGTAAAGATGAAAGTTTTCCGCAATTTCTCTGTTACCTCTGCATTATCCATCAGCAATCATTATGTGTATCTTTTCTAAAACTAAACAACGCGAGCTTCCCCGAGATGGTCGGGGATCACGATGCAAAGCAAAAGAAATAGCCGATTCTCTGTAACATTTTACATTTAGTCCTTCTTGTGGTTGGCGCAATAAGTTTAGAATTCGCATCAATATAAGTTTTAAAACGATTTCGACAGAAGGAGCTTCGGTTAATGTCGAAGATGTTTCATCGTTTTTGGAAAAATTTCCTTCTTTGATCAAGGGATATTCACCGAAATGCCCATAAAACAGGCCTGTATTTTAGGGCTCTACCCGACAATACGCTCACATTAAAAAAGGAAAAATGTGTTAGGGGTGCGTATCCCAAAGAGAGGTTTACAATTTTGCACTGTGTAAATATGGCGGGTGAAAAAGAAAAACTCAAGTCATTGCTAAGGCAGATAACTTGAAAATGCAATAAAAAACCTTCTATGACAAGACAAATTACGACGTAGTGGTTGCAAGACCTAGATTGGAGAAAAAAGAAACATGTTGTTATTTTTAGACAAAAGTTATTCGCGAGACCAGTTGGGGAAAAAATAAAATTAAATTCTTTATTGGGAATTGGCAAAATGTTAAGCTTAGCGAACTCTTTTGACGGTAATCTTGAGCTTTCGACAAACTATGTTGTCATCTTCAGGAGCTAAAAACACAATTATGAAAATAGCAACCAATTTAGAACAGATTTAAATTTTCAAATTACTTACTCGTCGATGAGGTTGCAGCTAAATCGTGTTTTAAAACGAAAGAGTGGATGAGAACACTTACAATTATAAAACCAAAAGTCCGGACACATTGGGTTTGTTGTTGCATTTATATATATAAACTTGAGACGTGGCCATTGTCGTCTAGACCAGTTAGGTGAAAAATAAAGCTTCCGCCTTTAGTTGGGTACTTCGACAAAATTCAAGCAATGAGGACTCTTTATACTTTATTAGTCTCTAGCTCTCAATGGACTATGCCATCATCATCAGGAGCTGCAATAACATTAAGAAGAAATAGCAACTAGTGTGCAAAATGAATTTAAATTACTTACATAGTATGTGAGATTGTTGCTAAATGTTACTAAAGGTTAAGTTGAGGGAAACATTTAGTAACCTGGTGAAAGCTGTATCTATGGTACATTCGTTAAAATTAGTATAAAATACACACAGCTGTATGTCAGGAACACATCAAAACGGATTAAAAATATTTGGAACGAAAGTTAAAATTATGACATGTTACATCGTAAAACAACCTGATGCTGCGCAAAATGGTGTGACACAGGGTCATAAGTAGAATGAAACAATTGACAGATGACAGAAGGCTGGTAGTGTCAGTGTCGCTGGATGGAACGAAAATTTGTAAAAATGTGTGCTATGTTGCCAAATCACTTGAGTTGGTGTGATTTATCAAGATATGTTAAATAAAAACTTGTCAACAGACCACAGGCAGTTGAACAAACTATATTGTTAATGAGATGGACAATTGAATTAAACACTTATTATTTTATAATGAGAAAAAACATTAATTATTCAAACTTGAATGGGATGGAATTTTGGAGGAAAAGGGTGGAATACACCAAAACACCAGATTCCATTTATGGTTGTGAAAAATCAAAATTTGGAGAGATGTGCAAGTGCTCCAACTTTTCGCAGTTTAGCAAATATGAGTAAATGACGCTCAGTTGCTTTACATCTGTCTTTTTATTCATACATTTGTTATTCATGAAAATGTGGGACATTTCCAAGAATAAAAGTTTGGAAAGTTGTTTTCTTTATCAAGAACTTTGATACTTGCGTAGTTCATCAAGTGCCCTGTTGTATTGACATGAGATGCCAGAGCACATCTCTCGGGATGAAGCCCAGAATCACTTTTGGGTGACGTAATCCTTCCTTTTAGAAATCTGGAAGTCTGACCTTTGTATATTTGGCTGCAATTATTACAATTGATGGAGTAAACTGTGTTGGTTAAGCCATTTGGTTGCAAATCCGTCCTCACTATAAACTGTATTTTGATGAAAGACAGAGTGCCGTTGCTTGGCTTTTCGAAATCGTCCCTTTGTTCATTTTTAATCTTTGAGAAATGTCAACATTTCTGACACCACTTCTCAATAATTCATTTCCTTTGTCTCTTAAATCTTTTGAAAATGCTTTTGCTTTTGCCATTCTCACTGATGTTAATATGTAAAGCACGCAATATCAGAGTATCGCAGAACGAATAAATACGGCAAAACTGAAATGTCTCCATACTTTTGTCGTTTCAGAAACTGTGGTATTTAAAAAAACGCGTCTGTAGACTTGAATATTTATATTATCTGTTCCTTCATAATTTTAATTTAGGTATATGAAATAGTTCATAATAATGTTAATATTTGTTTCCAAACTGTTGGCCGCTACTGTACATAATTATGTACGTACATATTATATTATACATACGTATGTTTTTTTATACTCCAACCACCACGCAGGCCTAAGCCCTAAACACCCAGAGGGTACCGTGAGGTTATAGGGGGGTACAGGGGAAAGGGCGAACGTCACACGGACTCTGGCGAGGAAACACGTGTGCATGCAACATACACACATTCTGGCCCCGCCTACGAGATCCGCCGGGTGGTACCTCTGCGTTCGACAGTTAGAAACCGTCACCGGACAATCACAACATCCATAGCCAAGAGAAAAATGTCTCTTGGGACCGGATTCGAACCCGCACAGCGCACGGCGACTGATCAGGGACCGAAGAGTCTATCTACTTCTGCGGCCACCGCTGCTGCCTAGATGTACATACTTTTATTATTAAAAACACGATTTTTGTAGTATGTAATTTTGGGGAGCGCTAGAAAACCCCATAGATTTTCAAAGTGGGCGGTAGGCGAAATAAGTTTGAGTACCTCTGCTCTAGAGTGTAGATCTAACCGCAGGTATCTTAAATTGAAGTGAATAGTGGTACCAAATGCTTGTCCCGCAATGAAATCTGATTGCTTATCCACCCTTTGAGGCGGAAGTTGGGGAGTAATCCAAGTTAAATACTCGAGATAAACGTAGTAAATATTTACCTGTCCTACTCCGGAGCCTAGGTCTATGAAGATATCTTCGGGTGTGATCTCAATTTGATCGATCATTTGGCAAACCAAGTCGTAGGACGTTTCTCCATAGACCTCGGGTGAAAAAGGCTCGTACTGGTTCAATTTTTCTGGATCCGTGACGGCAGCATTGTAGGTTTGTTGTAAGATGTGTCTGAGTAGGCCTCTAGAAGGGTACTTGTTCAAGCGATGTGCTGGCAAAGACGTGCCCTTTTCCTAAAAGTGGTACCAGATCTTACCAAAACCTAGCGAGGTGGCAAAAATGGAAGAACTTGTCTGATAACATAAAATTCAAAATGGGATGGAAATGAAAATTATATGGTAATATGACGTGAAATGAGATGTTAACAAAAATGGATAACGATGATCAAACTACAACATAATTTTTTTCTACAACCGTTCTTTTGCGAACTTGAAACAATCATTTCCAAAGGTCCCCAATATTTAGAGGACATTTCATTCAAATATCTGAAAAAAATTATTTCAAAAAGAAAACTCTGACGTCATCTAACGGACAAACCAACTTTTGCATAGACGTAAATCATGTCTAAACGACTTGTTTTGATTCTAAAAATACGTGGTACTTCTACGTCCACGGAATATTGGGACACCCTGTAGATGTTTTTAAAATATCGTACGACCAAAGAGGTATACGGTATACCTTCTATTTTGTTAGCTCCGTGCTTACGAGTAATGTCTGTAGTTTGATCATTTTGCAAACATTCAAAATGAAAAACAAACAAAATGAACAACATGTTTCAGAAAGCCGTGGCAATATTACTAGGGTAGAAAAAAAATAACAAAAAAAAATCCTATAGCCATAGGTCCTAAAGCGTCCCATTACCAAGATATTTATACAGGATATATGTGTTCCTATTACACTGATGAGACTGAATAAGGACAAAACACGATTCAAATAACGCTATGACAACTTCCGCGTATTTTCAAACTCGAAACCAGGTTGAAGTTTTTTATGCGGATTTTACCACAAAAATTAAAACTATTTTTTCTCCAAAAGGAGTAGACTGAGAGAAATTTGACAAAGGAGACGATTCGTATAAAATTAGAATCTAATTATCATAAGGGATTATGTTCGGCACAAGTTAGTCAAACAGACTCATAAAATTGAAATTGAGTATTTACCATGTTTTTTTGTCCACAAACGGAAATATTTCTCCACCATTTTAGGGATAAATGTAGCGGGAAATCTACGATAAGTGAAATATGTCTAAAAGGTGCCTAGGATTACCACGGCTGGAGGCGTATAAAAAATTGAGATATAGTAAACATGTGAAAAAATCAGTGGCGTGGGGAATAATTTTCTTTTTTCTTCTGAAGGAGTCAAAATTTCTCAATTTCTACGCCACTGGTGTAGTCTCCGGCACGAAATTTTTTGTATGCGTTGGCTATGATATCAGCCCAAAATTTTATGTACTCTAAAGATGTAATTTCGAAATCCTAATTTCAAGCGGTCATTTTCATTTTATTATTCTTTGATCTACTTTATCGCCACGTTTTTCTGGAACACCCTTATTTTTCTTAGCAGCACTGCTGAGAAAATAAGAGGAGGGAATAGTTCTTCCATTTTTAGCAAGTTGAGAGTCCGATCAAACATATGCAACACTTTGCGTCAGTTGGATAAAAAAGTAAATGACCTAGCTGAGTAGAAGTTTCATTTTTTTAACCAACTGACCAGACGAAAAATAGACTTCATAGCGTGTTGAAACTGAGTACATGTTTGATCGGACTTTTTCTAGTGAACATATGGAAATCGCTACCTACCAATGCGACGACACTATCAATGGCTCTATTGAACCTATCACATAAGGACTTCATACTATCGTAACTTCTAGTGTCGTAGTCGCACAGTATATTATTTTCTAATGGCAGTTTCAATTCGGGCAGGTCTTCGCATACCCATCTGCAAAAGAAAATACTCGGTAAAACAGGGTACTGATACTACAGGGTATTTTATTGTATTTATTTTTTATTTTATTCATATATTTCTCAACAGATACAAAATCCAATTATAGAGAAACACTATACAAGTGAACAAGTGATGAAAAACAAATAGACGTATACAAAAAAATAGTATCATGTATACAAAAAAATAGTATCATGGATTGATGAAACTAAAAAAAACCCTGTGTGTGTAGTACTCCTAAAATACATTAAGATGCATACTGAAAAGCTACTACTTCTTTTATATAGATTTTCACTTATTTCAAAGTCAAAGAGACAGCTAACCTCATTCGATCGGGGATGCTTGCAAAATATTTGTTAAAATTTTTGGTAGATAAAACATAGTGTAGTTCATACTATTCAACCTAGGCACAGTGAAGCTCAAGTCCGACAAAATTTCACCACAGTCAATCTTATCGCTTGGCAACTTGCGCAGAAAGCACCAGTTAATAAAAATGCTCAGTATTTAAGACTCATCACGACAAAGTGATCTAAAAGAGCCTTTTTGGATAGTTGACTGGAGGATACGCACCAGATGCTTTTATTGGTTGTCGGAAAAGTCATGACGCTTTTTTTTTGTTTATTTTAAGGCCATTTTATTCATATACAGCACAAACTTCAATCAATAATGTATTGCCCATTTTGATCGATGACCTTTCGCCATCTTTCAGGCAGCTTCATAATTCCTCGCTCGTAGAAGGATTTGTCTTTACCGGCAAAAAATTGAACAAGATGCTGATGTACAGCTTCATCTGAAGTAAAGCGTATTTCTCGCAAGGAATTTTGAAGCGACCGAAACAAATGAAAATCAGATGGGGCAAGATCAGGCGAGTATTCTGGATGTGGTAACACATCCCATCCTAACTTCAATAACTTTTGACGAGTGAGCAAACTTGTGTGCGGTCTCGCGTTGTCATGGTGGAACACAACTCCTTTACGATTAATGAGCTCCGGACGTTTTTGCATGATGGATTGTTGCAAACTGTCCAATTGCCGACAATACACAGTTGTATCGATGGTTTGGTTCTTTGGCAGGAGTTCGAAAAACACGATCCCTTTAAAATCCCACCAAACAGAGAGCATCACCTTTTCCTGATGACTCTCTGCTTTCGCGATCGTGTTACGCGTATCTACACTTCGGGACCAAGACCGTTTGCGAACCACATTGTTGTAAACAATCCACTTTTCATCTCCCGTTATCAAGCGCTTTAAGAAAGGATCGTTTTCCTCACGTTTAAGGAGCATATCGCAGATGTCTACACGCGCCGTCAAATGAACCTCTCTCAGTTCGTGTGGTACCCAACGATCGAGTTTGCTTACGTATCCCAGTTTCTTCAAATGGTCGTGAACGGTTGAATGATGGATTTTTAAGGTTTCTGCAATTTCCCGTGTGGTGTAATGTGGGTTTGCTCCTACCAATGCCTTTAATTCGTCACTATCCAACTCAGTAGGCCGCCCTGATCGAGGTGCGTCATGGATATCAAAATCCCCATCTCGGAATTTTTTAAACCATCTCTGGCATTGCCGTTCTTGTAGTGCATGTTCTCCATAAACCTTTCTCAACTTTTCACACGCTTGTCTTGCGTTCTTGCCTTTGCGGAAGTAAGACAGCAAAATGTGACGAAAATGCACAGTTTGGTCGTCCATCTTCAACGTCCTCTAAAATCGACGAGACTCAAATAAATCATTTAATTTTTTGGTGCAAATGAAGCTTGAAGTGTCAACTGTCAAACTACACAATCAACATACAAATGTCATTGACTCACGTACTTCCAACCATGCAATTGCATACTTTGTTGCATATACGTCATGACTTTTCCGACAACCCATAGATACAGATATTTTATAAATTTCGTGTGCATACCAGATAATACAACTATATTCAAGTAAACTTCTAAATAAAGTGAAATACAGTACTTTCAACAATTCCGTGTTAGTAAAATATCTGCAATGTCTAATAATGAATTAAAGCATAGGTGAAGCTGATTCAATTATTTAAGTATGTTGAAAATGACAGATCTGAGATTTTCAAATGCTGAGTATTAGTAGTTGTTGCAAAATTTGTGATTATCCAGTATATAATCATATAGTATGATAGACTGTTTTCTGATAATGGACATAAGTTTACACTTGCTGGGATTAAGCATCAGATCAATATTCTAGCACCAGTCAAGAACGCTGTCTAAATTTTCCTGCAAAAGGTCCAAGTCATGTCCATGAATTACTGAGTAAATCTTTAACTCATCCGCAAACATTTGGTTTTCTACTGCTATTATATATATGGTTGATATCACTACAAAAATCAAAAGTTACAAATAAAATATTGCGTGCTTTTCACACCTCGAATTGAAAAATTAACAACGCCAGCTTGAGGTGAAAAAGTGGCTATAACAAAATGCAATTTATTTCAAAATGCCATCTCAAATAGAGTCAGGATAAAATAAAAATGATTTTGCGATAAATCTGTTACATATATGAAACAAATGACTATCTGATAATTTCAAGGACTTCCTAGGAAATTCAGTTTTTTTTTAATAACTAAGGTTTGGCAATGTCAATTTATGACAAATTATACATTTTTGGAATCAGAATTAAAAAATCCATTTACTTGCGCAAAAATCCGATATCGCGTCCTTAAGAAAAAATAAAGATGATACTGGAGAACAAGAGACGTTAAAATTGGAATTTATGCGATCTTGTAAAGAAATTGGCAATATTAATGTGCATTTTTTTTTAAATTCTACTACAACAAAGTCAGGAAAACAATAAAACGATTTTGGAAAAATTCTGTTTTTTCCGTCTCTGTTCTGAAGTACTTTCTAATCGGCATTTTGTTATAAACCTAAATACATAGCTTTGCTTCCATTTGAGCGGATTCGTATCTCTCACCGTTTCCGAGATCCCAATGATGAGGGTCGAATGTGAAACACCCGGTATGCCTGTCGGCCACCGACTTTAGGTGTCAGCGTTGCTACCTCTAGGACTGTTGCCTCAGGTCATGGGATTTAATTTTCTGTCGTTGATAAATTCTGAGACTATGAAATCTAAGGAATCATTACGAAGGCCTAAACACAAGTGGGTACCGATGGGCTAAAAATGGATACAGGGGAAAGGGAGTTACGACACGGACTCTAGCCTTGGAGATCCGCCAGGTGGTACCTAGACGTTCGAAGTCTGAGACCATCTACCGCCTACGGACAATTCCAACGTCCACAGACCAGAGAAAAATTCTCGCGACACCTGCTGCCTAAAGTCACATTTAGCATTAACAAAATTCTTTAGAAGAAAAATGCAATCTGTTTTTCTAAGTCAACATGGCTGTGAAGAAAGAAATTGTAAGTGAACGTCCAACTATGGCACATGATTAGCACCTTTATGGCGAATACATTAACTAATGATCAATATCAGATAAAGAAACTTCACACATACATCGAAACAAGTGAAAAGATATCAGCCAACCATTCAATGATAAAATAAAAGGTACGATTTCGAACATGTGATATGTGCCCACATCGCCCTAATAACGAACAGGTGTCTTCAATGCGTCTCTTCTTTACAGGCGCTCTGAAACAGCTGGAAGCACAATAAGATATCCACGGGCTGTCACGCATCAAATGCGGTAACACCATGGGCGTGGCAATAAAAAAATACGCAATAAAATGTGGTATTTTGTCACAAGAAATAGAACACTCGGTAAAAATTATTTTATTTCAAATACTATTCGAATACATTTGTAAGTTTGGTATTCGGTATTCGACTCAATACTTTCCTAGTCAGTAGTCGGTAAACTGGATTTCGAACACCGTTTCTGATTCCCAATATTCGAATCACCACTTTGTATTCAAATCCCGGTATTCGAAACTTGTATTGAAATACTGTTTGGCTATTTGTATGAATATTGTGTTACGCTTTACGCAACTTAAGCATGTTAAAACACGTTCACGGTGGTTGTGGATGACACAAACAAAATATACTGAGTGACAAAAAAAGTAAACACCTACGTATGTATGTTTATTAGAATTCAAGAATTTTTTACATATCGATTTATCTTGCCATGAACAACAAGTGATAAAATGGTCAGGTTGTTCTGTTAAGGTTTTGTGGTGACTGCGTGTATTGTTTGATGATAAAGAAGCATTCAGTTTTCGTACATTTACGATTAGATTACGTATGCACTTCATGTGCTTGCGCAGTATTGTCATTCTATTTTATAATAAATTTCAATACCTGTTATGATTTGTGCGTGATACCAAATAAAGTAGATATAAAAAAGATTTTTTTTTAATTATGTAGGTTCATTGTGTAAGATTCATATATTTTCTTATTAAGTTTGATTCTATTAAGTCTAATAAAAATCATAGCAAAAAAATAATAATGATAATAACTTTGGTGCTAAGTACAAATAATGGTTTGTAAACGTCAAAGAATAAATGGTTGATAATTGTTAAAGGCACAACTATAAAAAAATACTTTTTATTATACAACTACCTCGTCTAAAGTGTGGCATTGTGTATCAAAAACTATTCCAAAAGTATTAATATTTAAACGAATCCAGATATTCAAAATAGTGGTATTCGAATAATTTTTCTTTGTATTTGAATCTTAGGTAATCGGTTACAATTTAGAATACGGTATTCAGGATTCGTATTCGACCCAAGTCCTGTTGGCCGGGAGATGAAGTTAATGTCTGTCTAGCAGCGGCCGATGATGATAAAGTGTAATGAAGAGCTATTTTAGTAATCAAATCAGCATGAAAAATCTGATGGAATAAACCCTAGATGTTGAGGAATATGATGACCATATTGCTGATATAACGAAGCAAACACTTTGATGTCGAGCCCAGGATTCAGTTTTTATTGATATTGATTTTTAAGACTTGTTACCGTAAATATGTTTCACCCGTTTATGCTTATTTCAACATTTTCCAACCCTTCTTGGTCATTATCGACAATGGCATGG